CCAGCTCCTATCTCCCTACCCTTCCTCTTTTGAGCCGGTGGTCCTGCAGGTCTGCTGTTCCTCCGTCATGGACACAAATTGATCTAGATAACTCCATGACAGCTGATTGCAGAAAGAGCAGGGTTGGTCTCTTCTCACTGACAGGTGAGAAGGATGAGGGGAAATGGCCATAAGTTACACCAGGGTAAGTTTAGGTTGGATATCAGGAAAACCTTCCTTACAGAAAGGGTTGTGAAGCACTGGAATAGGCTCCCCAGGGAGGTGGTTGAGTCACCATCCCTGGATATGTTTAAAAACCGTTTGGATGTGGTGCTCAGGGACATGATTTAGAGTTAGGGTAATATGATCACATTGCGGTTGGACTTGATGAATCTCAAGGTCTTTTCCAACCTGAGTAATTCTATGATTCTGTCATTAGTCATCTTCCATACTGTGCATTATTACAGAAGTGGTAGAGAATGTAATTTGTCTTAGACTGAATTCCTAGTATTTTAACTTACTGTCCATGTAACATAAGTAACCCAGAGGCAGACTGCTATGATATAAACATTGCAGTGGAGTTTCTACATTAAAGAAAGAAACTGGTTTCTGTTGGAAGCATATTTTCACCAGAAAACACTCCCTTTGGGTCAAGTACTGTCACAGTTATGAGCAGTAGTTCCATTTACACCAAATTAATTCTCAACTTTTTTTTTAGAGTTGCAATGAAACGCAAGAGGCCTTGAACTGGATCAAAATTATGATGCCTAATATAATTTATTTGCAACCATTCTAGGTTTCAGAATAAAAATTATGTTGCTATTCAACCACTGTTGAGAGAACACCCATTAAAAGTGAAGAGCAGGCCAAGACTTCAATGAACTCTTTCTATTGTTTTAGTAGGTAAGTCAATCAGCTATACAGTGTATAGAGCAAAATTCTTGCTGTTTGTATAGCCTTAAACTGTTCATCTATCCCAATAACAGCATGCAGTACGTAATTTGGCAGCCACTTTACCTCCACTGCTGCTAGTGCCTCACAAAGGACTGCAACTTTGATTTTTCTTTTGTGAGAGGCAGAAATATAAGCACACAACCTTACAGATGACAGTAAGGGATTACTAGGTCATGGTGAAGAAGGAGAAAACAGCATTTAAATCTTAAAGGAAGGCTCTGAGTGCCAATGTTATGCACAACCAGCATTCCTTTCTCATGACAATGCTGACTAGGAAAGAATCTGTGATGTAATTGGTGAGGCAAAAGGGCTTCAGAAGGATAGAAACAGTTATTCAACAAGATGGCAAAACAAGAGAGTAGGAATTAGAGTAATAATTTAGCCTCTCCAGACAGTGAAAACCTGGTCAGATGTCAAAGTGTCTTAAAAGTTTATACAGATGCTAACTTCTTAATTGAAATTGCTCGCTAATGCCTGTACTGATGCAGTGTTTGCTTTTGTCACCTGGAGCTTTCAAGAAACACTGGTAAATTTGCCTTGCATGCAAGGCTAGAACTGTTCTGAAAAGCTGGGACTGTCAAAAAGCCAGAAGACAGCCAGAGCAGGGCAGCAGTCATTTGAGAAACCCTATCGGTGTTTTGCACATAGAATAGGCTGCAGGCTGAAATCAGAGGGCAGAGTCCCATGCTTTTAAGGCAGAGTAGGAAGATAGATGCACACATGGTTCATAATTTTCTATTGGCTTGCTCTCTCCTCACGAGCTGGATGACTAGGATTGTTCTCACCAGGTGGTTAATTTCCTTGCATGCCATCTATGGGCGGATTTTGCGTCTATGCCTGGGGGGGAGGGGAGTCTTTGTGTTCTCTACCTACCAGCAACTGACACAGTCTTGCTTTCATAGCAGTGGTTCAGAAGCATAGTTCTGCCTGAGGTAAGAGGGGCTTTTTGAAGAACTAACCCGAGGAGGATAGCAAAATAAATGCAGGGCAATCATTTTAATTTCATACGATGCTGCACATGTCTTTCAAAGACTTCTGGATAAAACCAGTGCTATCAGTCTACTCCTTCCAGTGACTTATCTTTGAATTCCAGTAATAGAAAGTGAGACAGGTACTACAGCTTCTCAAAAAAAAAAAAAAAAAAGAATTTTATGAGCTGCTAATGTCTCATGCTCTGCATACCGTGTGACCAGACAGGTGTTTTGTGAAGAACCCTTGGGGAAATGTCTGCATTGATATAGAAAGGAAGGAGTTTTCATTTCATGAATCACTAGATTGGCAGTGATCCATTACAGCTTGTCACAGATGTTATGGAGCAAAACCAAAGTACTGCCCTGAATTTTATACCCCTGTGACTGGAAAATTTGAACCCAGGGATTTGCAAGTTGGGTGACTCTAGCTGTAATCATCCACAGCAATCTTATTAGCTATAACTATCCTTAACATTTTGGACGCTTTGAAACTGTTTTTAGAGATTAACCCTTTAAGATTTTCCCAGCATTAACTACTCTCTCCAGTCACAGAGGAAGTATAATAGTTTTGAGTATCATTCCTGAAATAAATGCAATATCAAGTTGCTGTACTGAAGGATTTGTGTATTAATCCCTGTACAGTGATAAAGTAGCCCTCAGATATACACTGTATGCCAGATACTAGAGAGCTTGATATTACTTTATTAGTGATAGTATTAGCCAGGGGACACATTTGTGCCTCTCATCAGGCTCAAGTCAGAATTCCATGAATGTTCATTAGATACTAGTGCTGAAAACTGAGTTAGCCAAGATAATTACTTTTTCTTCCTCTTCCTGCCTCAGAACAGTAAAGGACTAAAGGAACGTGTTTATGAAACAAAGAAAACAGCATTCTTCAAGAATGCAGGATATTGATGTAGCTGAAGGAGGCTTTTTTCTATCTTGGCAATCATTCTCTTTTCTGAGAGACTCATCAATGGACGAAATAGTTCCACAAATTCTGAGGTAACTATAATTGACTTTCTTTCACTATTATATACATAGCTGTTGCAAGTTTTTACTAGGTATTCTCTTATTCTCTCCCATAATCCCTTCCTAAAGCTGTTGTCAGTCTCACATTAGTAACTTGGAATATTTCCCTGAATTTAAGGATAATGCTTTTGTAATCTATTTGCATAGGGTAAGGATGGGTGGCAGCAGATATAGTTGCTTTAAACAACTTTTGGAAGGAAAGTAGTGGTCACAATTCAGTAATAAAGAAGGAATCACCCCTTTACAAGAATCAGGGCTTACCAAACATCCCAAAGATGATGATCTCCAAGTAGAGATGCTTCCCTTGTGGCTATCAGACCTTAAATAAGGTTAGGGAGCAGCAGACCCCAGAGTTCTCTCTTTTTGGCCACACATGTGAATTGCTTCCAGGTGCTCAACCACTGCTTCTACTCATAACCTAACATTTCCCATACACATGAGATGTTTTTACTATGAGTTAAACATAAAATACTCTTGTTTTAAATGAAATAAATTTCTGTATAAATTGTATACAAAAAAATACTTAGCACTGAACTTGGCACTTATTTACTTCAGTATTGTAGGATTTTCTTTAGACTGTTTCTAGCTTTGCACTTTGCAAGTGTCATTCATTGCATGCAGTGTGAGCAGAATATATTCTGTCATTTCTGCAGAGAACATTTTTGACCTTGTGAAATTCTAAAATTTTATTTCATTACCTTGAAAGCTAAGATTTAGCATAGTGAACATCAGGCAATCTGTAGTACTTCATCTACTAGCTCAGCAGAACACCAAATTAATTCAAATTTGAAAAAAACTCTCCATCTGTAGCAAAAGCATGTTCTCAATTACATATTGAATTAAATAAGAGGTAGGAATATTTCTGAAAGCTTGAAATTTATAGTTTCATTAGACTGAAAAATTAAACCTAAAAATGTGTAAAAATCTACATTAATCATTTAGGTTTAGCACATAAATGCAAATGGCTTGGAACTGAGCTTCATTTCAAACTGTAAGTAATAATTACCTAGTGACACCTCGTGAGCTTCATTAGAACCCTGCTTTTAACAAAAGTGGGGAACACTAGGGATCTGCACAAATAAGAAGATTATGGTATTTAATCAGAACAAAATGGTAATGATAAAGCTTCATTATATAGCATTTCCAAATATGAAATCAAGGAAGATTATATGAGTGGATTAAAAATTCATTTTCAAGTATTTTATTTTGTGAATTCTCTTCTTTTTGTGAACTCTTTGATTTGTAAAATTAGCTTTGGTACTTGAAATAACCATACTCAACAGTTAGTAGATGGAAAATTCTTTTTGCCAAACTACTGTTCTTATATAGTGCCAGTCTACAACTATTTTTAGTCTTCATCAGAATTTTAGTATTTGCTAATCACGGTCTGAGGTTTGTAATGATCCTTTTTGTCACAAAGTTTTTTTCTGGTTCATGGCTAGTATATGTATTGTCCATGAAATGTAAGTTCATGTACAACCACACACACATATCTATATATGACAATTTTCAATCTGACGATGCTAAAATATTTTTCTTTCTTTGGGGTCATGAACAACAGTTCAACTACGTACAGAATTTAGGAGAACAAAAGAAGAGTAACAAATAGATTTTTCTTTTGTCTTCTTTGCTTTGTTTTCTTTCAAACTTCTTAATCTCTTGCAGTACAGCTGATTAGCAGCCTGAGTATTAGGTAACATTTAACTTCTACCATCTGGATTTTAACTTCCCTTTTTCATATATTCAAGAAAAGATACAGAACTACAGACAAAACAGTGATTCTATAATACCATATGGATTTTGTTGTTGTTTAGCATGTACTAGTATTAACATAGTCTGTATGAGGGAACTTTATGGGAGGAAGAGGCAGTGGTAAAAATCCCATAAAATTTAACCTAATAGTGAAAGTTGAAATTGAAGAAAATATACTGGAAAAAATTTCTCACACAGCCTGTTCTAGGTTTTAGATCAAAATATCAATAATAACTATTAATTTTCATCTTGTATTCTGAGAGGAAATAATGGTATATGGTGGTAGAAAAATAATGCAGAACTTTCTTCTTTGGCATTTGAACTGGTATTTAAAAAGTACAAGGGAATCATCTTACCTAAGAACAAGAGAGGATTTTAGCATACATACCTATTATGAAGACAAGGGAATTATAACATTCTTAAACAATAATGAAAAGAGAAAGACCTTCTCATTCCACAAAACAGATTTTGGATGACGGTTGACTCTCTCTTCCACAATTCAGGTTTAATCACAGCGTAATCCCAGTAAGCATGATGATTAAATAATCTTCAATCCTTTCTGTTCTCACACCAGTGAAATCAGGCTCTGCATTTTGCTGATGTTTTTTATACAATCACCCCTAGATCCTTTCAAAATACTGTGTGTATGTCTGTGAGAAAAATGCTTCTGATAATGGCTTTGTCAGTTTGTACACAGGATGGAATCCAGATGCACTATTCTGGACATCATTCTCTACTCTGATATTTTATTTAACAGGTTTTTGTTAAAACAGAACAAATGGATATTTGGTATTCCTAAACAGAACAAAAGCCTTACCCGTTTCTTCATTCTTTATGCTTTTATCATGCTATTGTAATTTGTTTTTTCATTTATGGTCTAGAAGTCTAATAGTGTCATTCCATTGCTTTGACTATTGCAGTATCTCACCAGTGCAGCTCTATTGTCTGTGACATTTATAACTAGTCCTTTCTAGACTCCTGTTCCATCTGTTCATGCTCAGATTCAAATGTTCAGTTCTTTTTATTTAGCCATGTTATGACTGTACAAATCAGAAGGTTAAATAAGACAGATCCTTAAACTGTTTGGGTTTCTGTGCCCAACAATGTAAATGGCTTATACAAGACACAGTTCAGAACACGTATGTGATTTTTGCACTTCTGAAGTTGTGTTTTGAATTGCCCCAATGTCCAATTGCATGTCACTCATCCTACTGATCTCAGCATGAAATTGATATTTATGGAACGGATCAAAAGAAAAAGGGTTTGTTGTGACCTCTTTCAAGATTCCTATGTAATAATAATAGTAAAGGGTGATTCTTGGAAAATACTTTCGTTTTCTTGTTCGCTGGTTGGAATTTTGTATGATTTCATATGTTTTTCTCATTAAAATCCATAATATTTAGTCATTCTGTGATTGCATACAACATGAAATCCACATGTTCACAGGAATGAAAACGTATAAGTTCGTTATCTGTAAGTTCTGCCTTGATTCCTCTTCTTTACTGTGATTTTTACTGGTTTGGGTATTCTTAAATTCCTGTTTTTCTCTTACACAGGAAAATAATTCTTTGACTGTTGATTTTAATCAATGTAATCAATTTAAGATGTATTACTTTACCCAGTGCTCATTGCACCATGCAGTTGGAGCCTTAATAAAGCATTAGTGCTGCTGTTTTTCTCATTAAATTTTCCTAAAGGCATTTTTGAACCCATGTATTTTCTTCACCACTGTTGATGCTTCATTACAATAAAAAAGAGCCTTATTCTTCTGTAGCTGTAGTTTTTCTAACATACTCTTATATTCTTGATAACTTGTTTTTCTTTCCAAATAGCTTCAAATACTTTTCTATCTTATTAAGTTTCATGCATGAATTTCTCAGAATTACATTATCTGTAGCAATCAAATTCTTCATACCAGGGACTGAAAAAGTCATATTAAGGTCAGATACGTATGTTGTCTCATTAGCAAATTACCTCAGAGGGTAAGATATTTTAAAGTAATACAATAGCAAGTAGATATTAGAAGTTGGAGATCAAAGAGAGTGCATACACATATTGTTTCAAACTTTTCAATCATTTATAAAATCTCTAACTTCAGACTATGTAACAAAATCACGTTCGTTCCAAATTACTTTTGGTTACATTGAAATTTTATCTGATTTAATAAAAGGTTTACAACAAACAACCCCTACACTGGGATAGACTTGAGAAGTCTCATTTTGGCACAAAATGATTTCTTTGTCTTTATCTTTTTTGATATTACTGCAGTCTGTAGATGAATCCAAGAATATTCATCATAATGAGAGTTTGTAGGACTGTTCCTGAAGTCTGAACTTGTCCATCGTAAGAATTTTTGCTGCTGAGGAAGCAGTACCTTCAGGCTGTTCAAACAAATACAGCTGTTCCATTTTCTAGCCATATGTCTAGACTGAAATACAAAAAATAATATATTACTTACAACATCTGTGACATTTAGTACTAGAAATACTAATGATAGATGTCAGAGATATTAATGATGGTCAAATACAATAAAAACAGAACTTAACGACTTTCAGTTTAGGTATAAATGTTTACTGAGTTAAAATAAAAACTTTAATTGTTAACACATGTCATGAAATTGATATGTTTTGGAAATTACTTCTCCTGCACATTTGAATTCAGAAGTATGAATATTCAGAAGATGCATGTACAACACTTAAGAGCACTGTAAAAATAAAAAGAAAAGCTTAATTCAGTTTCAAATTAATGCCCCACAAGTAAATCATTAAAAATGAAATATAAATAACTGCAGTATCTAATGACTCAGTTATGTTATCTAGAATGAACATAGGTGATCTTTTGCAGACTCTAGATGCAACTTCAAGTTATTTTCAAACTCTTAGTCAGACTCTCAGCCTTTCTGAGTTTTAAGTCAGATATATTATTCAGATGCAGCTCATACAGTTAAAAATGTTAGTTCATAGCTTTTCTTTCAGTGTCATCACCTCAGAGAGTTATCACCACTTCTATTTGCCAACCTAAAAGTGCACTCAATCATCACTAACTTCTTTAAAATTATCTGGCTTGAAAAAAAACCACCTACTATTAGCTTATGCTAATGTGGAAAGTCAATACCTAGATTAAGTCAATAGATCTAAGGAGACATTAGTGGGAAGGGTGATGTGAAGAACTGCACTGGCTTTACCTTTAGCTGTAGGCAAAAAAAAATGTATATCAGACCATTGTCTCACGACCCCAAGAACATTTGTATACTCTTATCTCTGTATTTAAGCACAGTAATGTAAGCTGGAACAAGAGATGCCTGCTTAATTCAATGATGCATTAATAAACTATTTTCATCAGGTTTATTCTAACATCTGATTGCTTCGCCTGAAATATGGTGGTAAAAAAAAATAAGTAATAAAAGTCAGTTGAATGTGATCACTTTGGATGGCCTGCACATCTGATCAAAACGATACAGGTATTTTGGGTGACTGCTGGAGAAGGTACACATGCACAGCTTTAATGCTTGAAATTAATAACAGTTCACAGATGATTTAGACAGGAATTGAAATTGCAATGACTCCTCTTAGGCCACAACAATAATGTAAATCTGTTGAAGCTCTGGGAGAGGAAATATTATTCTATGGAATATATAGCAAAAGTGTTTATGTCTCTTTAATAGTAAATCTCAAAAGTTAAGAAACTGTGGACATTTAGTCTATTTATACTGTTTTTTTTGTCTGTTTGTTTGTTTGTTTTGGTGTGTGAATGATTTTTGAAGCTCATTTAACAGCATCAATTTAACTGATGTTGCAATCATATTTCTCAGTGCAGTAATATATTGCAGGGGTAAAACTCACTCAGGATTGAGTCTCATGTGAGTACTGATGAAGTGGAAGAGTGGTAATTCAGAAGAATAAAAGGTTTAAATCTTCACTGATTTAGACTCTGATTTAGGCTTTACCCAGCACAGCTATAGCCAAAAGCAGTGTATATCAGGCCATTGTACTACGACCCCAAACACTAGACTTTGATTTAGGCTTAAAAGCATTTCACTCTACATTGGAAGCAATTTTGGAAATCTTTAGTTGTAAGTTTTCAAACAGTTAAAATTACAAGCAAATATCACCAGTTTTATTGGAATTATCACTGAGATTTAATCAGTACATTATTATCGTTCTTTATCTCAATACCTGTGGCGATTGAATTCTAACAGCTGCACAAAGTGTTTAAAAAGATGAAAGCTCTTGTGATTAATTGTTTCTAGAACCACACTTAGCATAATAAATATGTAAATATTGGATAGTTTCTCAATATGTCTGCCTTTATTTGATATTGCCAAAAATAATAAGGTAAATTAAAGATCAGTTTAAATGTACATACCAGAAAACAAGCAAGCCATAATGCTTTTGTTTGGAAAAGGAGTTGCAATTAAAAAGAGGCAGCTGTTACGGAAACCTTAACATTTAATAGGGGGATCTATAAATAATGATTTATAGTGAGAGAATGCAATTTCTTGAAATGGATCAAGCCTGAATTAAACCTGCTCCAAATGCGTATGAGTTTTTTTATATAGCTCTATGTGATCTGCAAAATGTCACTTAAATGATAGCCAGGGATATAATTTGTACTTCCCATGAGAAAACTGAAACAAAGTTAAAGCTACAGAGAATATAAAGCACATTCCAGTCATCTACTCCACCTCGTAACATCTCTACAAAGACCCTTTTTACTGCAGTTATTATTTTTTTTAATACTAGCATTGGACATTTCATGGTATCTCTGGGGTCTTTGAGGTTTGTGGGATCATATATCTAAGGAGAACTTTTCTACCACTGACTAGTGGTAAAAAAGAACAGGGAACAGCATTATTTCAGAGATTATCTTCAGCGTCAGAATGTATATAAAGGTATAGAGAAATATTTATGTGGGGGAAAGCATTCAGCTTGTCTGTATAGATTTATAATGATAGCCACTCCTGCGTAAGGACAGTGCTGCCTAGTTTACTGTTTTTTGATACGAAGGCAACATGAATACATTAATTTTCCTTACGCACAAGTTTATATGAGGACAAATCATACAGACAGTTCATCAGCATTATCCTGTAGCAAATGAAAGTTGAATTGTCAGTGGAATAACCTGGGTCAGTCTTGGGCAATAACATCCTAGCTTCTTTGTGAAACTCTAGAAGCATAACTCATGACAGGTTTTTACCTCCTAATGCATCCAGCATATTGTCATGTGGCTTCAGTTCTGGAGAGCCCATGATAAGAAGTCTTCATCACCTCCCTGGTTCTTCTTTGCTAGAATGAAAAGGGTATTCAGCAGTTCTGCAGAGATTATTCTCTTTATGTATGCTTCTGCCAATAGCAGAAGTGATTGGGATGGTGTCTGGAGCTTCTTCAGGTACTGATGGCTTCATGCAAGATAAGCATTAATGCTAAGATACACAAGTAAGAATATATCTATTCTATGGACAAGTACTGTTTTAATCAAAACCAAACTGGATATTTTGCCTGTATCAAAATCTGCTTGAATCTGCTTGAACAAGGTTATCAGTATATCTCTATACTGATAGCAATACAGTATTGCCACTCATGCTAGAGGTGTGAGCACAAGGCACGTTTTCTCAGAGCTAGTAGCAATTCAGGAACTGTGAGAAAACACAGAAAATAACCCCAAATTATGTTAAGATATTAAAAAGATTAAAAAACTGGAAATGGTTACAAAAACAACAACAAAAACCCAACCAGGAATAAGAAACAGGAACAAACTTTTGAGTAACATGCTCACTTACCCAGTCCATTCTGATAGCCTATTAGTGGTATAAATCAACAGCACAGTTGGAGAGAAACACATTTTTAAAATTTAGTTATGCTTGGTTAGAACTATAGTATTCCATAAAACAGATAAATCCAGAAACGTTACAGTTTTTATCCTTGTTGTCTGAGTTGTGAAATGATGAACATGCAAAGATGGTGTGTAACTACTACATATATTTAGGAAATTCAGACATTCACGTGATTTGTTGACTCCTCACACTTTTCTGCTCCAGCCTGGGCTCTCCACAATCTACAGGGGATATCTGCTCTGCAACAGAGCATCTCCTGATCTCTGCCTGGCAATGTATGGGAACTGCTGAGTCACGGCCTGAACCTCTGATTAGTCACCTGAGGTGAGCAATGAGTCAGCCCTGGGAGCACAGGTGAAAGCAATTCACCTGTGCTCCAGGAAGGGGTGGAGCCTGGCTGCACCTCTCCTAGACCCATTTAAGAGCTGACTACCAGTGGGAAAGGATCTCTCTCTCTTCGGAAGATTTACTCCACTGGAGTTTCCTGAGCAAGCCTATGACATGGGTAAGTCTCCTATTTATTCTCTTTGTCTTGCTGTGCCTAACTCTCTTGCTTATTTCTTTATTATAACATCTTAATATTATTAAGTTATATAATATTCCTTTATATAATTTTCATTGATTATACAGGCAGTCTATACCCTTTTTTAAACATGTTTCCATTAGTAGTACCACCAACTTGGTTGATGAATCTAGCCATGCTCTGTGGTGGATTCATTGCACAACTGACTGGATGTGCATGTGTTCAGCCTAGGGCAGTTCAGCACAGGCTACCCCTGCAGACCTTCCAGCTACCAACACCTCGCCACCTACTCCCCAAAAATACAAATAAAATTGCCATGAAAAACACACTGAGAATGTTTGACTTTTGGAAAGTTTTGATTATATGGGAAATCCAATTCTCTTTCAAATTTTTGCCCCTCTCTTGTACGCACAGTAGGTGATCACTTGGTATGTGGAAACCTGAAACTACAAAAACTCAATATCACTGATTAATAATTGAATGACATAATCCAGAGGCTAGCCATATAGCTGAGCCTTTGTTTTCAGAAAACATTTCTTTAATTCCTTAGCACTGCTAATTCAAATTGTCATCTTCTCCGTACCAACCAAAGTCATTCTGAAATTTAAGACTGATTAAGAAAGAGCATATCACCTCTGTTAAACTTAACCTTAAAACTTCTAATTTCTGGTAGCTGACTTCCAATTAGCCAATTACTTTTATTATTGTGCTAAGACTGAGAGCCTCTAAAAATGCAGTTATAAACATCAGTTGTTTATGATCCTATAAGCATCAGTTGTTTATGATCCCACAGTTGTAAGACACAACGCTATTTACATCTTGGCAGGTGTTTCATCTCTGGTGCCTGAGAGATACATCATATATCTCTGTTTGAAAGCTCTTCAGCTGTATTCATCATTAGCAGTGCAGCTGTAGATCCAACCACATCCAATTTGACACCTTTGAAACAACTGTTAAGGAGAACAAAAAGCAAAAAAATATCTTGGGTTTTAGTCAGCACACTAAGTGTCCTGTAAAGATTAGTAATCAGTCAGCATTGGCATATGCCAGCAGGTGAAACAAGAAGTCTCTCTGTTTGGCCTTTTCAAACGTGAACTTCCAACATTAAGTTGTTACAAGATTTGCTTACTTAGTTTTAAAGCAAATATCTACAAAGTAGTCTGCTATGATGCTGAATGATTAAAAAAAAAAAAAAAAAAAAAAAAAAAAAAAAAAAAAAAACGGGGGTCTCAGCGAAGACACATTTAGCTTCTGCCCAATGTAAAATATACTTCATGCAGAGGGCATAAAGGAAACAAATATGCAGGGGAAAAAAGAAAGCAGATTAAACACTTTCATAAAGACTAGCTTACTTTAAAGGAAATGCAAAACTATCAAGAAGAAGATAAAATGGAAAATGTCATAAAATGTCAGCAGCAGAATAGCCAAAGACCAAACAAATATTTTCTTTGGGATGAAAGTTGCATAAACTCCATGAAATTTTCCCAATTGTGTTTTAAAAGAACAAAAACAAAGCCTTAGGGAGAAAATGTCAATGCTAATAGGCAGTCAAATTGAAAACAGCCCTATTGGGACAAAATAAAAATTAAATATCTTTGAAGTAACATATAAGCACATACTGACCCAAGTGAATAAGCCGGTATATGAGTATTCAAATTTAAAGAGAATATTTTTTTTGAATAGGAGCACAAACTAAATCTGATTTCTGTTTAAGAGTTTTGTGCATGATAAATAAGACCAAAAACAAAAGTACACAGCCATGTTTGTCTGGAGTCTTGTCTTTTCTGCAACCTAAGTACATTAATTTTGCAACCTGAGACCGTAACTCCATAAGGAAAATGATGCATCAGAAGTAGAAGTCAGAAAATATCAGCATAGTAGTATAACTGTACTCAGAATATATTTCAATATATGAAATCTGTGAATTCATATTTTGCAAGGAATGTCGCCTATTTAGTAAATCATAAGCAACTGTAGATGACACAGGGACATTGGGCTACTAAGTACAGTTAAGGTGATGGTTTCCTCAGGCTTGACTGCTCTTCATCTTCAGAAAGCAGAGTGAATTGTGCTCTGAAACGTAAGTTATGTGGCCATGTATCAAAATGGCCAAAAAATATTTTGTGCCTTGTTCTGTATAGAGGACCTTATATGCTTAGTGCTTTTTGAGGTCTTCTCTTAGTATCAGGAAAAGAATCATTTATCTCTTCTTGCTCTCATCTTTTATCAGGCAAAACTCTTGTATGTTCAGGGATAAAATGTCCTCATTACTACCTCCTGACATTTCTGTACTTTTTACAAGGTCACAAGCTATTAATATAAATTAGTAACCTCTGTAATACAGAGACCTGTGAATACCTTCGGGTCTTCCATCAATATATTTCATATATCATATAGAGTAGAGATTAGGGGAAAAAAGGTATAGGTAGAAGATTTTTTGGCAGAGGAGATTTATAACCTTGACATAAATGTAAAGTTTTTATCAAAAAGGAAAGAAAACAGCTGAGATTGAAGAGAGTAAGTCTAATGTTACTTCCAGAGAAACAATGGCAGTAACATAAGGCTCTAGGCTATATGTCTAGAAGGAATTTAGTAGTATGCCTGCAGGAGCAGCAACAAAATCCAAGCAATATATTCTCGGTCTCTGTATGCTAAATGAGATGGAATATATGAAGAAAAAAAAAAAGTGAAAGGGGAGGAGAGAAATGAAAGAGAAAGTAAAATACAAGGCCTGCATCAGAAATACACTGGAAATATCATGTGTAGAACCATAGAATAGTTTGGGTTGGAAGGGATCTTAAAGATCATCTAGCCCAAACCCCCTGCAGGGCTGTTATCCAGCAATTCAGACTGCCCAGGGTCCCATCCAGCCTGGCCTTGAACATCTCCATGGATGGGGCGTACACAACCTTTCAGGATAACTGTTGCTGAGGCCTCTTGAAGTTCTGATTAAAAAATTCCTCCTAACATCTAATCTAAACCTACCATCTTTTAGTTCAAAACTGCTTCCTTGTGTCTTATCCCTATCTGCCCATGTAAAAAGTTGTTTTCCCTTCTATTTATAAGCTCTCTTCAAGTACTGGAAGGCCACAATGAGGTCTTCCCACAGCCTTCTCTTTTCCAGGCTGAATAAGCCCAGCCCTCTCAATCTTTCTTCAATGGAAAGGTGCTCCAGTACTCTGATTGTTTTTGCAGGCCTTCCTCTGGACCCACTCCAGCATCTCTGCATCATTCTTGTAGTGGGAAAACCAGTACTTCAGATGCGGTCTCACAGGGGCAAAGTATGTAAAATCAGAATCTATGTCAGTGTTTATGAAGTATACACTTCAACGTTTTCATCCATGAAATGGATCCATGAACAGATACAGCAATGTAAAAGCATCCAGAATTTTGCTCTCCATGGTGGATTTCCCCTGCATTTTTCATTCCAATTCTCCAGATTTTACTTCATTTCCATTGAATTTATGAGGTAGTTTAAAGGATGATTTAAGACTTACTATTCAGTGTGAAATTAATGGGACATTCAGCCTTGAGATTTACATGTAGGGATGAGGGAAAGTTTTTGAGCTCTGAGGATCTTGATCAGTAGAAAGGAGGAATGCTCACTGGTGCTCCAGTAATTAATGGTTAAATTGCCCTTGGATAGTAGGTAGTAGGTAGCATAACTCTACAGTCTGGTAGCTCTAAATTTCAGATCTAATTGTAGCAGTGGGATTTAGAACACAGGCAGAAGATATAATGAAATTACCACAGGGAGGAACAAACAAATGAACTGAAGTCCAGCAAAAAAGTTATAGCTATGTTGCTGTCATCTTGAAACTCTGTAAATAACAACTTTGAAAGCCATGAGAGCACTAGAACAATGGATTTTATGTGCATCTAAGCATGAAATGTGAATCGTGAGGAATAATTGAGTTTGCTATATTGTCAAGTATGTACTTGGAAAAAAAATCACTTGGTCATCATTTAATGCCTTCTGTTCACCTTTTTCCAGTTATTTGCATCTTTAATGCAGAAAACCACAATATCTCTTCTGAATTGGTTTCTGTCAAAAAGTTAGTGCAAAAATATAAATTGTAACTTATTTAATTACTCAGCAAAATCCAGAGAGCAAAATATAATATTCCTTTTGGAATTTCAAACTTTCCAAGTTTTCTGAAGAACTCTGAAATTTTAGTTTATTGAGTAGTAATTCTATAACATCTTGTTAATGAAGTAGCATATATTAAATATTTTTTTAAATGAAATATAGGTGAGTGAATCCAGGGATTTAGTAAATTTAGCTGAAAGCTGCTCTTTGCAGGTGTCTTCTTTGAGGTCTATTAATAAGGTTTTATAGATTTAAGACTAGTAAATTCCTATTCTGTGGCAATCTCACATAAATATCATGCGTGATCCTCTTGTTATGAATGATTGACAAAATGTTCCTTAACCTTCCTAATATGGCCACAGCACTTAATTTTATATGAACTTAAATGCAATCTATGTGACCATACCCATCTAACCTATGTTAAATGCCATCTCCCTAGTTACTTCTAGGTACTATGCTTCCTCATGATTTATAGCTGTATCAGGAGCATCAACCACATCATTTTCAACTATATCAAGGTTTCAACTTTATCCAAAACCTGGAAATTATCTAGCTTGTTTCAATATTGTTTCAATAATGGAGATTCAGTAGTCACCCATGTCATCACCTCTGTCCTTTCCGTTACATATAATCTTTTTTGCTTCAGCTTTGCTGTTCCATTACTTCTTGTTCTGTATACCACTGAA